ATACAAAACACTCAAATGGAGAAGGACGAAGGCAGTTTGCAAGCAAGATTAGGTTGTGTGAAATTTGGGAAGAAATTAAAAATTACAATATAATCTCAAAGGAAATGGAAAACCCTTATCAAAATAAAAGAACATTATAAAAATATAGTAAAAATAAAATAACAGTAGAAAAACAAGGACAAGATAATCCACAAACAAAAGGAACTGAGCACAGAAAGTTATGAAGAACAAGGAAACCAATAACAGCACACACACACACACAACCACAGCAAAATTGACAGGAACAAACCCACACAAATTAAGAATGACAATAATTGTCAATAAACTAAATGTACTCAGTTAAGAAAAAGAATGTGATTGAACTATGGAATGATATGTCAGTATTAGCTCCTAATAAAATGGTTTGGGGAAAAAAGGAAATACAAAAAAAAAGGAGTAGCCTATTAAATAAGGAGACAGAACACATCAATATGCTGCATTCAAGAAACACAACACAAAAGGGCAAAAATAGACTGAAATCCAAAGGATGGGAAAAAACATCAAGTTAATGGCAACCAAAAATATTAGGAAAGGCAGTAACACTCTTTGATAAAATAAACTTTAAAGCAAAATACATCATGAGAGAGAGAGAGGCATTGCACAACGATTAAAGGGATAACAGAACAAGAAGACAAAACATAATAAATAAATATTTACATACCTAATGAAAGACCCTCAAACTATATTAATCAAACTGGTATGGAGTTGAAGAGAGAAACAGATGATACTACAATAACAGTAAGAGATCCAATACACCATGTAATTGAATACACACTACTGAGTAATTGAAATAATGAATTAAATTTAAAAATTCCTTGAAAGAAATGAGAATGAAAGTACATATACAAAAACCTTTGAGACACAGTAAAAGCAATAACTAGAGGAAAATTTATAGCACTAAATAGCACAACAAAAAAGAATCAAGCATCTAACATCTTCAACAATTAGAATAAGAGCAACAAAATAAACGTTCAGTGACCAAAAGAATAGAAACAATAGAGATTAGAGCATCAAGAAATGAAATGGAAAATCAGAAATATGGGTGTGTGTGGGGTGTGTGTGTGTCATAAGTTGGTACTTTGAAAGGATTAAAAAAAATCAGCAAACCACTAGCAAATCTAACAAAGGAAAGGAAGGAGAAGATATATATAACATAAGTATCAATAATAGGAAATAAAAGGTGTGACATCACAACAGAACCAACTGAAATTAAAGAAGATAATAACAGTATACTATATAGGATCGATATGAATAGAATGGGACTGTCACCAATGAATTTGAAAACCTAGATGAAATGGACAAATTTCTAGAAACACACTACCTACTTAAATTAACACAGACTGATGTAGGAAACTCAACAGACCCATAACAAAAGAAATAGATCAAGACATTAGCATTCTGAGAAGGGTTGACACCATTTCTAATCAAACTATTCCAGAATATACAGAAGGACAACAAACTTGCAAACTCGTTTTATAACCCTGATACCAAAGCCAGGCAGACATTACCAGAATAGAGAATTACAGACCAATATCCCTTATGAACATGCATGCAAAAGTTTTCAACAAAATCCTTGCCAATAGAATTCAACAAGGTATCAAAAAACAGAACCACAAAATCATCATGAAGAGGGATTCATATCAGGTATGCAAGGATAGTTCAACATTTGAAAAATAATGAATCCAATCCACCATTTAAATAACAAAAAGAAAGAACATGATCACATTACTTGATGCAGCAAAGGCATTTGGTAAAACCCAGCACCCCGTCCTAATAAAAGCACTCAGCAAAATAGGAATAGAAGAAAAATGTCTCAACATAATAAAGGCCATCTACACAAAACTGTAACATCTCACTCAATGAGGAGAAACGAAAGCATTCCCCTTGCAAAGGAGAACCAGACACGGATGAGCTTTATCACCATTCTTACAACATTTGCTGGAATTTAACACTGATTCAACACTGCCATTGAGTCAATTCCGACACACAGCGACCCTACAGGGCAGAGCAGACTTGCCCCTGTGGGTTTCCAGGACTATAATGCTTTATGGGAGGATAAAGCCTATCTTTCTCCCAAGGAGCGGTTGGTGATTTCAAACTGCAGACCTTGTAGCAAGCAGCCCAATCTACATTCTACTGTGCCACCAGACCTCCTGCTGGAAGTCTTAGCCAGAGTTATTAGAAAACTAGAAGAAATCCAAGGCATCTAAGTTGGCAAAGAAGAAGTTAAACTCTGTTTGTAAATGATATGATTCTGCACATAGAAAATGCCAAGGACCTGACAAGAAAATCATCGGAAATAATGAAAGATTTTGCAATATACAGGATATGTCATCAGCATATCAAAATCAATCAGAATCTGTACACTAACAAAGAAAGCGAAAATCAAGAAAACAATACCTTTTACAATAGCAACACAAATGATCAAATACTCAGGGATAAACTTAATCTGAGAAATAAGACTTGTACAAAGAAAACTATAAAACACTACTATAAGAAATCAAGAGACCTGAAAAAAAAGAAAAAAGAAAGAAGAAATCAAGAGACCTACATAAATGATAAATGGAATAATGTTCTATATTCATGGATAGAAAGATTTAGCACTGTGAACAGGTCAATACTACCCAAAGCAATCTATAAATATAATGCAATCCCAATCTAGATTCCATCATTATTGAAGAAAGAGACCCAGGATCAGCAAAAACTTCTGAAGAAGAAGAACAAAATAGGAGGCCCCTCACTTCCCTGCCTCAAAACCTGTCACGTATCCATAGCAGTTGAAACATCCTGGTTTTGTACATTGATTGATACCTAAAACAATGGGACAGAATAAAGAATCAAGAAAATAAACCCATCTTATTTTCAATTGCCTCATGCATGTGAAAGTTGGACATTGAATAAAGAAGACCGAAGAAGAATCCATGCACTTCAACCGTGGTGCTGGCCAAGAATATTGAACATGGCTTGAATTGCTGAAAGGACAAACATATCTGTCTTGGAAGAAGTACGGCCAGAGTGCTCCTTGGAGGCAAGGATGGCGAGACTTCATCCTACATACTTTGGACATGTTGTCAGGAGAGACCAGTCCCTGGAGAAGGACATCGTGCTTGGTAAAGTAGCAAGCAGAAAATAGAGAAAGGCCCTCAGTGAGATGGACTGACGCAGTGGCTGCAACAAGGGGCTCAAGCTCAGGAACCGTTGGGAGGATGGTGCAGGATCGGGCAGTGTTTCCTTCTGTTGTGCACAGGGTTGCTGCTGTGGGTTGGAGCTGACTCGTTGGCGCCTAATAACATCGAGACATACAGACAACTGATCTTTGACAAACAGCTGAGACATTACACAGAGAGAGAGAGTCTCTCTCTATCAAATGGTGCTGTCAAAATTTATTCCCAACCACAGAAGAATGAAAGGGGACCTATACCTCACACCATATGCAAAAGTAAAATCAAGATGGATTCAAGACCTAAATGTAAACTCTGGAACTATAAACATAATTAATAAGCAAATAGGGACAAACTTAAGGGCCCTAGTACAGGGTATAAACACACTATCAAGCACAATGAAAGCCACACACGCTGCAGAGGACACAACAGATAACTGGGATCTTCTAAAAATATGACACTGTGTGCATCAAAAACTTCAATAAAAGAATAAAAAGAGAACCCAAAAAACTGGGGAAATTATTTTGATAACAGCAGGCAAGAAACGAATCTGTAACCTATAGAAAATCACAACACTTCAGCAAGAAAAAAGATTAATAACTCCAATTTAAAAATGGGCAAAGGACAAGGACAGTTCGCCAAAGACATCCAAGCAACCAATAAACATATCAAGAAATGCCCCTTGCCACTAGCCATCTGAGAAATGCAAATCAAAACAAGGATGAGATACTACCTTCCAGAGGCACTGATGGCAAAGTCCAAGAAAAGAGAAGATAACAAACACTGGAGAGGGTGATTGGAATCCTCATACACTGCTGGTGCAACTTCAGCAATGTGCAAACACTGTGCAAAGTGGTATGATGTCATGTGACCCAGCAATTGCTTTGCTGGGTCTGTCTATACCCTAAAGGAGTAAAAGCCATAGCGCTGTCAGATATAAGCATTCCTATGTTCACTGCCATGCTGTTCGCAATCTCAGGAAGATGGAAACCACCTCGATGCCCATATCAGAGGAAGAAACGGTGGTACATACACATAATGGAATATTAAGCATTTGCTAAAGAAAAATGACACAACTGTGAAGCACTTCATGGCTTGGATGGACCTGGGGACCATTTTGCTGAGTGAAATTAGTCAAGCACAAAGCACACATATTATGTGAGATCATTGTTATCAATGAAAAACCAAGACAAAGGTTTTCACAGACTTGGGTGGTTATAGGGTAGTGGGAAAAGGGAAGGTGAAGCAATAGGCTAGGAGGTAGACAGGGGTTTACTTCGGTGAAGGGGAAGGTAGAATTCCAAAATGGAAAAGAGAAATGAATTTGGGGCAGGGCAAGCTAGTTGGGAGTTTGATAAGTAGTTTAAGTTGTTGAAAACAAAATTGATGATAGGAACAATAAGCCCTGTCTTAACTCTCAATAAAAAGTTAAAAAACAAAAACAAAACAAAACTCAGGGAGAGCTTGGTCCACATTGGGTAGTGGTGATGGTTGACCCTTTAAGGGAGGTTCGGATCCAGTTTTCCTTATTTGGTGTTTTGTTTTGTCAAATTTGGCATCCGGTCGAATAAAGATATATTACAATGTGTGGCTTTGTTTTCCGTAACAGAATGGTTTTGTAGCATTTGGATGACCTCTTTCTTTAAAGTTCATCAACATAACTCAGCCATGAACTGATCTGAGCCAGGAGTCTTGGGTTGCACGCCTGACGATCTAACAGAAGGGAAAGCCAGTTTAACGTTGCTCTACCAGGTGCCTGCCCGGCTCCAGTCAGTGATCAGGGACCAAACCAGCACTCACGGAGGTGGTCGAGCTTCTGGCTGTGCGGCGTGGCTGAAGATGGTGTGGAGGGCAGAGAGTCAAAGGCCACGTCACTCATGTTCTCATCTCCAGAGTTCTCTGACAGGCGAAATTGTGGGGGGAGGCGGTTCCAAGAGAAGGTTCTTACTCGAGGGCTCCCACATTTTTCCTCTGTTCCCCTCAAGATGGTCTTGGCTGATTGCTGAGGACGTGAATAGGATACTCAGGTCACTTACACACCCGCTGGGGATAATGGGATCTCCCCGATGTTCTCTGCAGCCCAGAGGCCCTTCCAGCCTCAGTCTGGGGGTCAATATAAAATCTCAATGTGGCCAGTGGCAATGAACCCTAAGGTCTCCAAGAAGAGATACCTGGGACATGTGCTCAAAGGCAGCATTCCCCAAAGGGTGGTGCACATTACAGCTCTCGGCTCGGGATGAATCCCAGGGACACCTCCAGAATCCCAAGCTGAACTTTTCCAGCAATCTCTTATAACAGGTCCATGGCATGGGGGAGGAGTTGGGAGTCAGGGTAAGTTGTGCATCTCCTGGACACAGCGAAGTACCCTGAGAATCACATCGAGGGCAACCACCTGTCAACAGAACACACACACACACACACACACACACACACGGCACACTTTCTCTCTTCATCTCTAGTTGCCCGTTCCCTTCACACCAGTCAGAAAATAGCCCACGCTGGGCGGCAGCAGTTGCTTTGTGAGTGGAGACATTCAGGGGGGCTTAGAGAGGAACTCAGCTGGAGGAAAAGAGGGGGCACCTATGGGGTGAGGTCTTCCCAGTCCTGGTATCTTCCATCAACCAGGGCCTGTCATCACACAGAGACACTGGACATGCTGGCTCTGGTGGCTGTGGGGCCCAGCAGTTTGCCCGAGAAAAAGCAGTTGGAGCAGCGTCCCACGAGGCACTCACCAGCAGCTTTGTGCTCTGGTTCACAGCATCCTTCTCTTTGGGCGAGAGGTCGAAGGGTGCAAGTCCCATGCTCTCACAGATCCGGTTGCAGGCATGCGAGTAGAAGAAAAGAGCCATTCCCCGGACACCTGGGGGCAGAGCGGGCATGCTAGTGTCTCTTTGCTGGGTGAGAGGGGAGGGCTCAGCGGTTGGCCCCATAAGCACAGCAGGGGTAGCAGATCTAACAAGAGCTGAACTGGCAGTGGGCAGAACTCCTGGCTCCGATCCCGACCTTGGAAAGGCCACTGTGCCACGTCAGCCAGTTTCCCCGGGTGCCAAAAGAACTCCACAATTTTAGGAAGGAGAACCACGTCCACGGGGGCCCAAGGGGGTGCCAGCAGCTAAGCGTTTAACTTCTGATCTAAAGATTCCCCACCCGGAGGGCCCTCAGAAGACAGGACTTGGGGATCTGCTGCTGAAAGGTCGCAGGCGCGGAAACCCCACGGGTCAGCTCCACTTTGCACATATGGGGGTTTCCGAGTCCGCATGGACTCCAGGGCAACTCACGACACCCATCTCCATGGAAACCAGCTGGCCTTACCACCTACCTAGGTTGCCGTCTCCAAACTCAGTGCCTGTCTCCGTGTGGATCTGCGGGTCGGTATAGAGGTCGCCCACACCCTGGATGTCCACCACAATCAGCTGATGGCCGGAACGCTCAAACGTGAAGTGGCTGAAGGCCTGTGGGGTGTCAGGGAGAAAAACGTGGTTGCATAAGGCCAGGCAGGGGGTTTGGTGGGTGCTGGCTAGCCCCGACTCTGAGGTGCTAGGACATCCCAACTCTGGTTGGGTTATGGGGCTTCCTCCACAAAGAAGAGTTTTATAGAAGGAAAGATGCCAAAAGGAATCCAGAAGGGAGGCTGGTCCTGTGGCCACGTGAGGTCTGCAGGCAGATGGCAGGGCCTGTCTGACTGATGTCCGATGATAGAATCTTCTGCAAAATAGTCCAAGGGGCTTGAGGAACCTTGAAGCCTGACCCTGGGGGTGTGAGACCACTGTGGGCCCCCAAGACCCTCCTGTCTAGGGGCTGAGTCGGGCCAGGCAGGGAGGGGTGGGCAGATCCAGGAGCCTTACCTGGGGTGTCAGGCGGATGTTGTCGTCACGGACAAAGCCCGAGTTGGAGTTGTACTTGATGTACTTGCCCTCGATGTAGTGCTCCAGGTGGAAGAGGGGCTTGCCTGGTCTCTCCTTCAGCTCGATGATGCACATTTGCATGATGTCCACCTGGCGGAGGTAGGAAGGGAGGTCAGATGGTGCCCCTTCTTCCGATGAGAGAGGCAGAGGGGTTGGGATGGGCCAGTCTGCCTGGGGTCCGATTCTGGCTCCATCGCTAACTAGCTGTCCATGTCAGAAGCTACTGACTGTTCCCTAGAAACCACTCTGCCCTTTTCTTTTAGATAAAACCCCCATCCCTGAGTTTAAACTGCCAGATAAGTGTTGGACTGTTGACTGCAAGGCCAGTGGTTCAAACCCACCAGCTGCTGCATAGGAGAAAGATGAGGCTGTCTGCTCCTATAAAGATTTACAGCCTCTGCACTCTGATACAGGGTCGCTATGAGTCGGAACAGACTGAATGGCAGTGAAGACGGTATCATTAATGTCACATCCAACAATGGTTATAGCAGTACACTGATGGGAAGCTGCCAGAAACTCAGGCCAGATTCGACAAGAGCTATCCTTGCTGATGTCATATGAATGCTGGCTGAAAGAAGAGAATACAAGATGGTTACTTGAGTTTTATTGACCATGCAAAAGCATCCAACTGTATGGGCCATAACCAACTATGGATAGCCTTGAGGAAAATGGGAATTCCCAAAGTTAATTGTGCTCATGTGGAACCTGTAGATGGATCCAGAGGCAGTTGTGTAAATAGAACATGAGAATACTACATGGTTTAAAACCAGGAAAGGTAAAATAATCATATTAAAATAAAATAAAATCAGGAAAGGTATGCTCCAGGGTTGAATTCTCTCTCCATACTCTATAGGAGACTTTGATATTCCTTGGAGTCTTTGGGTGGTGCGAACAGATAACGTTTGGCTGCTAACCGAAAGGTTGGGGGTTCGAGTCTACCCAGAGGCACCTTAGAAGAAAGTCCTGGTGATCAAAAAGCAAAACCCAAATGGAGCAAACACATGGAGTCTACATGCTTTACAACAGACTGACATTCCTTGACAAATTTTTAACAAGGCTTATGTGTTTTAATTTTGCACGTAGAAGAAAATAAATACAGACCGGGCACGGTTTGTTAGGCCCTGGGCTGCTAACAGGAAGACCGTTTCAAATGCACCCGGTGGCATCCAGGAGGTAAGGATCTGCTTCCAAAAGGTCACGGCCCTGGCATTCCTGGGGAGCAGTTCTACTCTGCCCACACGGCACCGCCATGACTTGGAATCAACTCAATACCCACCACCACCAACGTGGTCTGTAAAGTGGGGCAGGAAAGACCGGGGACTCTTGGACCCTGTCCTTTTGCTGAAGGAGTCATCATGGTATCCTCTCGCCCTTGCTGCCACCCACAACAAGGGACGAACTAGGTGTGTGCTTCCCAGGAAAACGAGCATCCCAGGATCCGCTCAGCTAAGTGACCAGATGGATTTCCATGGCAGCCGCGGAGGCTAAGATGGGCCCAAACTGAGAACTTCGCCCACATGGCCTCTACCTTAGAAGAACCAGCCTGAGGGGAAGGAGTGGCTAGTGCTGAGGGCTCCCACCCCAAATGCTGGCTCCATGCCTACAAGGAAGTGGCAGGGCCACCTGGTTGGCCAGAGGGATCTCTAGGCGAGGGCAGGGTCCCAACCACAAGTGCAACCACTTCCTCCTGACCAGAGCCGGCTCCTCTCCCTTCGTAAATTCAACTATTACCTACTGAGCACCTAGGCACTGGATACGGCAGTGAACAAACCGATTACGTTGAACACAGGAACGAAACAAGCAAGATGCTTGCAGATAGCATCCATTGTTTGGAAGAAAGGAAAACAGAACCAACCAGAATGATGTGGCAGAGGGTGACTGGGTGGAAGGGGGTCTGGGCTGGTCTCTCTGAGAAGGCCGGAATTGTGTGTGAGAGGAACTAGTTGTTTAACAAGCTGGGAGACAGGCTCGGGCCACAAACAGGGCAAAGGCACCGAGCAGGAACACACTTAGGGAGGAGGACAAAGGAGGCCAGGCTGGAGTGTCCAGAGTTACAGAGGAGGTCACAGACCCCAAGGGTGGGGGCTTTGGCCTCGGGGCCGAGCCTGAGTGTGTTTAATGAAAGGTCATGTAACCGGTAGGTACTAGTCTAATGCTGCTATTGCATGAAGTGTGACTCCCCAAGGAGCCCAGGAGACAGAGCCTTGTATTCAGCAGATGCTCAAAGAGCGGATGAGCTGAACCATGAACTGAAGGCAGAGAGCCAGGCACAGGAAGTTCTGCTTGCCTGGCTGGATCCCGCATCATCCTAGTGCCTCAACTGAAGGAGCCAACTGGGTAGTAGGCTAGACATCTGGCTGGGAGCCCTGGCTCTCACTGCCTGGCTGGGCAAGTCACTTAACCTGACTCTGGGTTCCTCAGAGAGCAAGCATGCATTATTTCTCTCTGCCTAGTGGCCACTCCTTCCTTCTTCGGCTTTTTATTCTGGGGCCATCCTTCCCTCTGTCTCAGCCTGGAAGGTCTCAGGGGAATGACTTTCCCTCCTGGTTTTAAGGATGAGATTACTGCTCAGGCTTACCTAATCTGCATACTTCTTCTGGCCCAAGTGATTGGCTCATCTATAGGCATTTAATGTAATCAGAGCCAATGGAACTCAGTTCTGGGATTCTTATTGGAACGTGTGGGAAAATAGACATTGTCATTCCCAGGAGGTTGCTGAGAGGGCAAGCGGGGAGCCTGTGGCTTCTGGTGGCTGCTTGAGGGTGTCAACCACACAGACGACAACCAAGGCTATCAGGGGAGGAAGATTCTCGGCAAGCTCAGCCTGGCCCCGAATCTAACAGTGCCCATGGCCAGCATTATCATTTTTCGGCGCCATGTGGTGATCAGTTCCCTTTTTTGATTAAGCCAGATTGAGTGGGCTTCTGCCATTTGCAGACAAAAGAGTCCTGAACAAAAGGCCCAGCAGTCCATGGAGATAAGAGCCGTCCAATCTCAGCACTCGGTTTTGAGAATCAATGGTTCTCTGAAGATACAGTGCTTGGCTTGGCACACATAGCTCCATCTCTAGAAGCCTACTTGATTCTGACCTGCGGGGGATCTATTTGTGCCTGAGAATTGTGCTCCACAGCATTCCCAAAAGCGGAGTTTTTAGAAGATGACCAGGTCTTCCTTCTGCGGTACCTCCGGTGGACTTCAACATCCAACCTTGGGGTTAACAGCTAGCAGGTCAACCATCTCCCCCACCCAGGATTCCCCTTGGCTGTTTGTAGCTGTTGCTAAGATGAGAAACAGGGAAGCCTATAGCAGGTGCCCCACCCTTTACCCCTGGCAGTCCCTACACAAGAAGGCGGTGGATAGGGGTACCACATACCTGCTTGGGGGGTTTGTGCCGGTTGTACTCCTCCCCCCAGAGTTTGGCCTCCATCTGTAGACGCACATCCTCAAAGTACACGTCCCTGTCCACTGGCTCGATGTAGCGCTTCGCCACGTAGTTGCAGGTTCCCTTCCACTGCTGGGCATGCAGGAGGTTAGAGAGCTTCTTCCTGTGGAGAGAGGCAGCAGGGGACCATCTGGGGTCCCTGAGGACTTGGGGCTCACTGGGACACCACCCTGGAGAGAAGCGCTCTGCCTGAGTCCGCAGGATAGCATCACCTGCCCGATCTGATCCAGCTCTCACACCTGACGGGACAGGGCCAGGAACAACAGGGCTCCAGGGGACTGGGAAGGTCTTTCTCACTGTCTGGCATCCTTCAAAGGGCCGAGAAGAGGGCTCACGGCTTCACGGCCTATTCCCTTTGACCTCTAAACACCAGAGCTTAGTGGGGCACTCTGTTTTCTGAGAGCTCATTGTCCCAGCCAATCCCAGTGTGTGGCCCCTGGGAGACAGATGGAGAGAAGCTTGGGCTACGGGAAGGTGGAGGCCTCTGTTCCTGCCCCTTAGCTAAAATGTTCCTTGGCCCTAGTTTTTGGAAACCCGGGGAAAGTCTGACCAGGACCCCAGGAAGCAGCCACAGTCACTTACGTCCTAAAGCACTCCCTCATCGCTCCACGGCCGAAGGGCTGAAAGATAACACATAGAGAGTTATCAGTGCCCACCCACAACCCTGATCCAGGAGAAGGTTTTCCTCATGGAGGGTGCTTGCCAAAGGATTTCCCCGGACCTCACCTCCATCCCCAAACCCGTGGGCCCTCCCTCTGGCCAATCCCTACCAATCCAAATCCCGACAGACCATCGGGACTATTTCCATCATCCCCCCCCCCCTGCCCCCCGCCCCAGCTGAGTGGAAGACTAGGGGACAGGGTGAAATGGGAGGAGATGGGGATAGAGCAGGTCAGAGCCTGTTACTGTCACCCAAAGAGGCATAAACGCCCTGCCCCTCAGCACAATGGATAAATAGTATATCTTTTCATTCAAGGGGACACAATACAGCAATGAGAGTGAACAAACTACAGTGGTAGCAAACACAGGGAAGGACCTCACAGGCCCAATGTTAAGCCGAAGAACCTATCTTCAAAATGAAACATACTGAACGGTTCTGACAAACTATTCCGGGGAGATAAACACGGTGCTTAGCCTTGGAGAGGAGGTGGGTCCGAGGGGGGAGGGGCTTTGAGACAGGGTGGTGATGCTGTTTCTTGATCTGGGTGCTGGTAACACAGGTGTGTTAAAACACACCGAGTTCACACTCCTGACATGTGCTCTTTTCTGTGCACATGTTGCATTTCAATAAGAAATATACTTTAGCTTGAGATGGGAGGACTCCCCGAGACAATTGCCCTGAGAGACTGACTCTTCAAAACCTGAAGCAAGACCATGGTCATCTTGTGGCAACGCAGACTCATTGCGACCCTATATGAAACCTGGGGGCAGTGAGTTTCACCCTGCCCTATAGGGTCACTCCGTGGCAGTGAGGATTTGATATTTTCACTGAAATGCAACATCTACACAGAAAAGTGCATGCATCCTAAGTGTGGACTCAGGGTGTTTTAACACCCTTGTATAACCAGCACCCAGACCAAGAAACAGAAATATCAAATTGACTTAAAAACAACAACAAACTACCCGGAAGTACTGTGCTCCTTTCAAAAAAATCACCTACATGAGACTAAATAATTCAACAATTATAAAATATGCATGAAAAGGAAAGGGGGAAACTAGATTAATGGAAGAAAAACAACCAGAATGGAAATAATGAAAATGTTTACAAATCGTGAAGAAGGTAACCAATGACATGTATGGACATGTGTAGAAATGATGTGTATCGAAATTGTTGAGTGGGAACCGAAATTGTTGTGTAAACTTTTGCTGAAAACACAAGGAAATATTACTGTTCTGTAAGAGTAAGTATATATATTTAAAATGTGATAACCAGAATGTGGTCTAGTCATTTGTATACGATGGGCTCTTGTTCAAACTTAAATAGAAATTAAGTTCTGATGCATGCTATGACATGGGTGAACCTCGAATATATCATGCTGAGTGAAGTAAGTCATTCACAAAAAGACAAATATGATATGATGCCACTTATATTAAATACAAGAGGGCTTCAAAAAGTTTATGGAAAAATGGAATGAAAACACAGTGGGGTTCTTCTATAACGCCCCCTTACATGTAGAATTAGCAAAGGAATGAAGCCAAAGTTTATTAGTACTTAGCTAGGGCTGGCGGAGAAGACAACAGGCGGTATTGCTGAAGGGAATCAAGACGATGTAGAGCATTTGGAAGTGGATAGTGGTAAGGATATCATAATGCAACATAATGATGTAATTAAGGTCAAGAAGTTATGCATTTAAAAATGATTGAAATGGCAAGCTTTTGGTTAAATATATTTGAAAAAATGATGGTAACTTTTACTACGTGGGAATTATCGTTTCCCAGTCTGCTTTTTCAAAAGACTGGTTATAGCCGACTGAGTTTAATTTACAGAACAGCAATCCACAGTGGACCGCATATTCGAAACCATGATAGGAAAGGCTCCCGGAACTGAACCACGAACATGAAGTGGGTATGGGCAAGAAGGACACGGGCTGAAGTCTGCCCCCAGGTGGCAGGGCCCTGCTCACCAGAGACGCCATTTTGATCAGGATTTCATCTAGCAGCCACTGCCCTGTGACAGCATTGTACCTGCAGAGACAAGAACCACCAATGGCACAGTGTCCACACATGATGCCATCCCTCACTGGCTAAAGGGCAAAGAGGAATCTGGCCTCTCACTGACCTCAGGATCAAGCTCTGTCCCAGGCGATGAGACCCCACCAAGCCCCTCAGCCAACCTGGTGGATGCTTTCCTCCTCCCAGGCCCTGGCCCACCATGCTGGCCTCCTCCCCATTACCGGTACTGGCAAATTAGCTGACACTCAGCGAATCAAGAACCGGGTAGAGAAGTGAGCAGAAGCAAGATCCCTTCTCCCCCTTCCAAGGACTCCTTGAAGCCTGATACCATATACGCACCGCCTTCCCCACCCCCGCCCAGATCAATTCAATTGCTGACCTGTGACGTGTGGCACACTCTGTGGCAATGTCCTCCAGGTGGAACTCAGCCCAAGGGTCAGGCATGTGCTTGGCCTTCTCAATCGCGTGCTTCCAGGCTTCCTATAGGAGGCAAAGGAGAGCTTTAGACCCAGACCAAGACCCCGGGACAATAAAGCCCAGCCTCCCCCACCCTGCCATTCCCTGGCATCTCCCACTTCTGGGGAGGCAAAACCAAACTCCAACCCACTGCCAGCAAACCAAATATGACTCAGAGTGAGCCATAGGCTAGAATCTGTATGGAAGCAAGCTGACATCTTTGTTTCTGATGGGCTCAATCCACTGACCTTTCAGCCAGTAGCCAAGCATTGTCACGCTCCACCAACAGGGGTCCTTCAGACAGCATCCGTGTGAGGAGACTATCCCCATCTATTGTGCTTCCAAGGAGCACTAATGGCATAGTGCACAAGCACTCCACTGCTAACTGAAAGGTCAAAAGCACAAACCCGCAGCCTGTTCCTCAGGAGAAGAGATCCAGTGATCTGTTTCCACGAGGACTATAGCTTTGGAAACCCTACTGACTTGGAAATGACTTGACAAAAATAGGTTTTTACTATCTTTTCAAGAATACTTCCCGACTATCTGATTCACTCTTAGCATGAGCACAGACCTCCTGGAGGCAGAGTAAATACAACCTAAAAGGCTTGTCATCATTGCCTCTAACAAGTATTCTGGTTGTACTTCTTCCAAGAGGTTTTTTGGTGGTTGTTCCTTCGGCAGTGCATGGTACTGCCAATCTTCTCCAGCACCTTACTTCGCATGCCTGGCTTCTCTTTGGTCTGTCTCACGCAAGGTCCAACTTTCACATGGACAGGAAGCAATTGAAAATACCATGGCTTGGGTCAGGCGCACCTTAGTCCTCAAAATAACATCCCAGCTTTTCAACACTTTAAAGAGGTCTTATGCAGCAGATTTGTCCAATGTAACAATGCCTTTTGATCTCTTGACTGCTGCTTCCATGAGCATTGATTGTGCATCCCAACAAGATGAAATCCTTGACAACTTGAATCATTTCTCTGTTTATCACGATGTTACCTATTAATCCAGTTGTGAGGATTTTGACCTTTACATTGAGTTGTAATCCACCCTGAAGGCTGCAATCCTTGATCCTCAACAGCAAGTGCTTCAAGTCCTCCCCTTTCACCTCTACAGACAGCAGCCTGAGGTCTGACAAGCTGCTCTCGGGTTGAGCAGCCTCTGCCGCTACCTGAGTAAGCAGCAGCCTCTGGTCTGACATCTGACACACAAACTTGTTATTTGTTAGCCTCTACCGCTGTATGAGCAGTTCCTTGAGATAAACCTTTCTGTAAGTATCCATATATAAGCTTCCCCAGTTTTGCTTCTCTAGAGAACTCAGCCTGCACCTCACACTTTCATATGAAGTAGGATGTTTAGTTATGCGCTCTGATAGTGGACAGGTTGTCTCCCAGGAGACATCCAAAGGTCCTGTAGGATGCAATAAAGTTCTTTGTGTATATCTTCCCTCTTTCGAAACTGTTAGCATTCCTGGTGCCCACCCACTAAGTTTTATTTGTTCTTTCTTTACATTTTGTTTTTACTGCTGAGGATGTATGCAGCAAGACAGACACCAACCTGATACTTTCTGCGTACACAATTTAGTGACACTGATCACCTTCATGTTGTAAACCATTTTCATTCTCCTTTTCTAAGTTGTTCGACCTCATTAACCTAAATCCTCTGCTCCTTCATGGTTCCTTTATAATCTTTCAAGTTGCTGTTGTCAGTTTGGTCCCACATAGTTTTTAACAGATCAGTATATCATAGCCCTGATCTAAAAACAATCAATTCTTATGAGGTGGTCCTATTCCACACTAGGAATATTGATCTCATGAAGAGATCACTGAAGATACAGGTGTTACAGCAAAGTGTGGCGAATAAATCAGATGGTGCCTGGCTATGAAAAATAGTAGCATCTGGTCTCTTAAAGGCTTGTCTTACAATAAGCATCCAGCTAAGTGAAGTGTCAGCTAAGTTCATACAGCAGAAGTCCACCAGCTTGTGTGACCCAAGGACTGTAAATGATAAAATCCAAGATGGAAGGAGGGCATGGCATTAGAGCATAAATTCTGAATACCCACTTTACTTACAGAAGGATGTGGGTGACAGTGAAAGCTCAAAATCCATTTGTACAGTCCCTACTTTGATTAAATGGTCTGCTCTGTTTATTGTACTATTATTAAGTTGAGTGTCCTTCATATCTATTAAGTCCAAGTGGTTTATAGTTTATTCAGGTCCTCTGCCCCTTGTTGGTCTTTCTAGATGGTCTCTCCAATATTACAAGTGGTTTACTGAAGTCTCCAACTATTTCTCCCTTCAATTCTATCAATGCTTGTTTTAATATATTTAGGTACCCTGGTATTGGGTACATATGTTTATGACTGTTAAATATTGATTAAGTGACCTTTTTATCACTATGTAATGCCTATCTTTGTGACTTTTCCAAAGCAACAAAGCTACGTGCACTCATGTATGTATAAGAAGTTGCTTTATATCAAGAAATAAATTTATTTCATTTATAGCATAAGGAAGTGGTCTATCCCAGTCCAATTCAAGTCAGATGTTAGCTGACTCTAAGGGGGAGCATAGAGACTCAAAGTGATCTCCAGGGCGGTGTGCTCTATTGATTTCAGAGGACTGGGATGTGGGGCACACAGAGAGGCAGGTAGAGTGCTGACTCTGGAAGCACTCTCTCCTTCTGTAGCAGTTAACAAAGCCTGACAATGAACAAACACCAGGTGGGGGGAGCAGGTGTCACCCTCTGGTCAGGTCCCAGTGGAGGTCTGCTTTGTTGCTATCAGAGTGCTCCCATAGATTGCTGTCCTTGGGTGCAGCCTCCACCTGAGACTGCTGCTTCTCAACCCACAGCAGCCTCAGAGGCCACCCAAATTGATCCCGAGGGAGGGCTCTCCTGTTGATTTCAGAGGCCGGAGCATAGAGAGGCAGGTAGAGCGCTGACTCTGGGACCAGATTCCACGGCAGGGTTTTTTCTGTAGCAATTCACAGTAGGCTTGAAGGGGAGAGTGTCTAGGTGGGGGAGGGCCTGTCATGCTTCAAATGGACCTCCAGGAAGGTTTTTGATACCAAAGCCCCACCTTTAGTATGTGGGCTGTGGGTATAGCCTCCATTACAGGTGCCTGCTTCTTAGTCCTCAGCCCCAATAGGAAGGGAAAGGAAACAGACCTGCGCTGACTCCCCTGAAGTTCTCTCCCTTTGATTTCAAAGCCCTGATCTATGGAGTGTCAGGGAGTGTTTATGATGGAAGCAGATTCCACTAAATAGATCTTCTGCAGCAGTTCCCAGTGGGGGCGGGGGAGGTGCTGGCATACTCCAAACAGACACCCCC